TGTTGACCGTATTTATTCTGATAATTTATCTCACAACTTCATTTCGCTTATAAACTGATTCAAGTTAACACTTCATATTAGTCAGCCCCAACATTAACGATTTTATTTTATATAACAAATAATTCCTGATTCATATATTACAATTTCCAAATGATGTACTCTGACTTAAATCTGGCCAATTTTATGGATTATTAATTTGGATATGAGATAATTGTAGAACCTGATGAGAAATTATTGAAAAGAATATTTTTCGTTCATACAATTGTGTTCTTAATATAATGGGAATTTTTCAGCGACTAAGAGTAATTCTTAGAGCTCTAATTAGAAGCTGTAGCATGTAAGATGGAACCATGTCAAATATGACGCAGCTACTACTGATTGCATTGGAAAATTGCTACCCATTATCCCAAATTGATTTACTTTACTTTACTTTACATGTTTGATAGTATGTTGTCATTGTTTTATTTTAACTTTTTTTCCAGTTATCAACAAATTGCTAAGATTTATTAGTAAAAAAAAAAAAACTTATTTAGAAAAAATCACCCAAGTGGAAATATAAGCACTATGATTAAATCAGAAATGGGGTTTTGTGGAGACTGTAGTAATTGAATAGTTGAATTCATGAGTCGATTAAAGCTGGATAACCATGGAAAACCTGGAAGCACTGGACGGCCGTTTTGTCCTAGTATGGGACTCATTCTATGATTAAGTATGAAAATTATATTTCTCTAATGAATTAATTTTCACTATAAATGAATGACTATAGATTAGTTAATTTAATTACTTTGATCATAATTCGAAAAATTAATAGTTATAATAAATTTTTTTTTGAAATTACAGAGAATTATGTTAACTATAGAAATAAAAGCAGGCAATAAGTATAATCAGTTTCTTTAACGAGTTTGTATAATTTGAAGGAAGTTCAAGTTTTATTATCAAGTGGAAAAACCAGGAAAAACTAAATGGCTATTTCATTCTAGTACAAAACTTTACATTGGCTCACCTCTACTATTCCAAACTAGGTCGAACTCGGGCTACTTTCCACTAACTAGATTTAAGGTGAATTTATTAACCTTCAAGTGAGGAGCTATGATCTATGGTAAAAACGAAATATGAAGCGAAACAATATCCCTTCGATAATATAGTATGCAGATCACAATATGTCACTGATCGAGTTGAAGAAAGGTGTCATGCTTAGGTCACCAGCTACCACAATGAATGGTAATGCTGACAGAACACTTATAAGAGTTTTTTTCATTACTACATGTTTCTATAATGTGAATTTGACTTATCATTGATTTTTGTTACTTTTCTTTGAAAGTGGTAGTAACGCTGTTTGCTATTACTTTAAAATGGAATGGATTTATTATGTCAACTGGTATTACATAGTCTACAGGAATAGATAGTTTGGAATATTGTTAAGTATGCTATAATAAATCACGGTCCAGAACAAATGTAGTTTGTAGTAACTGGAAATAAATAAAACATTCACATTTAGGTGTTGGATTAGCCGCAAAAAAATGGAAACTCATATACTTACTTACGCCTGTTACCCCTCGTGAAAGAATATAGGCCACTACTCACCAGCACTCTCTATCCAACCCTGTCCTGGGAAATCCTTTCCAGTTGTTATTCACCCTTTTCATGTCTGCTCCCAATTCCCGACGTACTGTATTCTTCAGCCTTCCTATTTTTCGTTTCCCTTCACGATTCTATGTTGGGACTTGACTCGTGATGCAGTTTGATGATTTCTTCAATATATGTCCTATCCACCTTCATTGTCTTTTCCTAATTCCCTTTTCAACTGGAAGCTGGTTTATCCTCTCCCACAGTAGGCTGTTGCTGATGGTATCCGTTTATCGGACATTAAGTTCCTTGCGTAAACAATTGTTTATAAATACTTGTACCTTCTTGATCCAGGGTACGTATATCCACTCTGATGAATCCAATCACTCAAAATAATCAACGCGTAAAATGACTTACAATTAATATTTTCACAGTAAAACGTAGCTACTTAAAAATTGTAAGTAGAATGAATATTTATATAGAAAATCCAGAAAGGAATTCATTTTTGTAGCCCTGCTGTAATAAGATAAAGAGCCAGTTACATGAAATATTGTACATTATTTGAGCATTTAATAGATTCAATCTTCATAGTTGAGGTTTCTTCATCTGTTCCGACTTTGAAAGCCATCATGAGTATGGCAGATAGGTCACAACACTTAAGCTCAGTGGGTTGGGCTAACAAATTGACAAACCTTGCACAGCAATTTCAATGATGAGATTTTGAATTCTTTTTCAATGGGATTTCTATTGATAGATCATTAAGCTTTTATTGTACTTGTGATCCAACTTGTTTATAGAGAAAGGAGAAGAAACTAAATTCTCTAAACAATACTGACAAGGAAATTGTCAATATGACGAGAACTTTTCTAAACATTGTATAAAATTACAAAATTAAGAATTCCAATCTTCTATATAAAAAAGAATATTTAGAACTCCCAGCAACAGTAATACTCATAAGTATAACTGACAGAAAATAATAGACAATGTTTTTGTGTATGTACATAATTCATTATTTTATGACGAATTTTTCTATTGAATGGTAAATATCGTGTGAGGTTGACAGTTGTTTTGTAATATTCATAACAATATTTCATGTACATCACATCACTCGATGCACATGATTCGTTTTTTTACTTAGATTTTAATCCATATTCACTTAAAAAGTTTGCCGCATTAAATTAACTATTAAAAAACTTCATCATTGAACGATCTACATCGGAGAAAATGACAACACTGAAATCATTTTTAGTCGAAATACACATTAAAGAACAATCGTCTATCAAAAGAGCATAAATCAATCTTTTTTCAAAGTGGATTACATTTTTCTTCTACATATAAATTATATTTTAGTGTTATTTACTACACTTTGAAAGGGTGAGTTCACGTTAATCGTACGGAATTAACTTTTACGTTGACACAAGCTACTTTCATAGAATACTAACTAAATACGATCATAAATTCTATTACTAATCGGTTCTACTTATATCATTAACACTTAGGTTTCCAGATACTGAATAATTAACACCAGTGAGTGAGTAAGTAATCTCTGCTTACGGAATTTATCTATATCTTGATCAACAATATGATAATTGAACAGTAAGTTTAGATGCTGATAAATTTAGCTAAGTGTGATAGTAAACGAACTCACCAACTATATCATTTGACTAAATTTTATAATATCATACCTGGCTCTCCATGCCTGAAATCAATAGTTTATTCGGTCACTCCATTACTGGAGAGAAATATTTAGAAAACGTATTTCTGGACTTGAGATACATAATACTTCACGATCATGAAGTACGACAAAATGAATTGTTGCACAAAATAATAATTTTACAGACAGTTAAGCTTTTTATCTATCGAGAAAAGCAGTGACCAGAAAACTTACGTAACAACTCTTACTCAATAAGATTACGCATTGATGGGAACCAATCCTGAGAAAGATACTTTGAACAACCACTCATTATCACTTAAGGTGTATAGCACACTGCAATCTGTTAGAACCTTGACTTAACAGTATAATATTTTGTTTGTTTTACGTGTCTCTAGCACGATAAGTAAACAAAAAGTAAAAGATTTGCGACACTGCGACAATTAGGTATTGAACCTTGCTATATGTTCTTGAATTAAAACACCAGATACGATCCTACCAATATGAATCCAGTCTATAATCTTCTAATCCGAGAACGCGTTTGCCTATAAACCAGGAACTTAAGCTTTAACTAATGGTACGCTTTGACCAACAATAATTATTCTTGAACAGTGACTGAGATCATCTTAACGCGGATGAGTTCAGGTTGCACCCCTTATCCTATCCGAGTATTCAGTCCGGAGTAGGATCACAGTGAGCTGGCAACTTTATTGTTATATTCTAAATATACGGATTACCAGATGTCATTACGTTGTAAAGAGACTATCGTTTGTCTACAGTCAAGATCGAAGTAATAAAAGAAAGGGTGAAATAATTAGTCAATAATAAGTTAGGAATAGTCAAATGCATATCAACAGTTTAGACATTAAGCGAAAGCTTATAAATAGGATAATATAGAAATACTGTTAAACAATTATTTAATAACTCTATGGTCAAAATAGGAATAATAGTTTATAATATGACAGTCCTAGAAGTTCCAACCTATGAAGTATTAACTTCGTTTTATTGTAAGCTACAATATTTATCATTTTCAATGTGATTTTTTTTCAAAACTATCACAAGAGGATCTAGGTCACTCTCTACAAAACGGAAGAATTAGATTGATTAAGTGAAACTACATCTTACGGAGACATTATAACCAATATCTCAGTCAGCATATATAATAATTCTGAACTACCTTGCTTAAAACCTCTGAAAATGATCTATCAGAACTTGTAGCTTTTTATGCCCCAAGTCTTGATATCTTTAACTTTATTGAGAGTTGACGACTGAATATCAATCGCTCATTTAGGCTGTTAGTAAAAATGGGTGATTGGAGAATTTCTGTAAGTCACCATAAATGTTTATCACTGTCCTATGTAGAGGGAAATTCATTATAGTCAGTTAGTCAGCTACAACATATGACCAGACACATATATGCATCATTCCAAGTTGTCATACCTTATTAGCACAACAAATCCACTATAATGGTTTTGTAAGTTTAATTTGTTAGAGTACTTTTTTATACGCAACACCTAGAGTGCAACGATACAGGAGGAATCTTAGGAACAATAAACAAATGCAATTTAGGTTAAGTAAGCAATTGATGACTAGTGTTAATTAAATTGTCGTATTGATGTTACATAGATATAATATTATAATCATAATGATAGATAATCTGTTTATCACTAAATCGAACAGTGTTAATTGAATTAATACCGCTAAAGACAAAATTTTTGAAAGAAAATATTTTGATTGAAAACTATCGACAAACAATATCATCTGACTAAAATGAAAAATTATTAGGATAACCATGAACATTTGCAAAAAAAGATTTAAGATTACATTTTCAGAAGAAACAGAAACAAATACATAAAAAATATACAAGTTATTAAAATATGTTCAAGTACTAGAAACTAACACTTGAAGGACACAGTTATATATAGGAGACAGGAAGAATTAAAGCACGAGATAGTTGTTGAAATTATTGGAAGTAGTAAAAAGTATAAATTACCTTGAATTATATGGGTGATTTACATCACTGTTGCGTCCTATTATATCACCAGTATACAGCATCTCCAGGAGGCTTTACATATCCGGATACAATTAAGATAAAATCAACGATACTCCATAAACCAAGACCACCGAAGCTAAACAATTTGCCTAATCCTTCTATCCACATGCCCAAATAAAAACGATCAACTCCCAAACCACCGAAAAATAAACTTAAGATAACAGTTAGTACATAACTTTTACCAGAAGACCAATCACAAGGCACCATACGCCTGAATACTCTTCGTCCTAGGCATAGTATATGAGGAAATGGTTCACATTTCGTTTCATAAAAACTCCGAGGTACATTAGGTTGACGACAATTAGTTCGACCGATACAAACAATCTCAGTATCACCTAACTGGTGGCAAAATCGACACACAATCGGTTTTTGAATTAGGTAATTTGTTTGATCATTCATCGGATAAGAAAAGTCTGATGAATTAGTTTGAGAAGTTTGGTTTTCTTGAGCTATACCACTTGAATCTTTGCAATAAACTCCTGGACGGGGGAAGCAAGTAACATTGACTACCGCGCCATAAACACATGAAGTATTGAAATTGCACATAAGACAATAACCTGGTAACTCACTACACTTGTACTTCATATATGGACATAAATGCTGCCATTTAGCTTGCGTGGTCTGATTTGTACTCGGCTCATTTTTAGGTGAAGATAAGTTGGAAGCTGGGAATAGTGATACAGATGGATGAGAAGCATTTACATAGACATTTTGAACGACGTCAGATAACGAATGTCCAAAAATATAGTGAACTAGAAAGAAACAACCCAATGATATGATTATTCGACTTGGTATTTTCGTTGTAAATAACTATAAGGCAAAAAAAATCAGACATTAAAACTTAAAAGGGAGAAAAATGTCACTTTCCAGAAATCTATGCAGTTAATTTTCGTTGGATTAACCAAAAGGATGGAAGTTAACAATTAACCCGACAACACTTCATCAAAAATAACTCTTAATGATTAATCTCATTAAAATATTCAAAATTAGATCATATTATCCATATGTAAGATTCGAATAGGAATCGCTTTCAGTTGACTGTAGGGACCAAAATATTATCAAGTTATGGGATAACAAACAGTACGATTAAGGTATTCTAATTTTAAGTAACACTGAAACTATTGATAAGGTTGAGAAATAACATAGTTGTTAAGTATAAAATCTAGTCGTTTCAGCTTAGTTATTCGAAAACCTTTACATAATTGGTTGGTTATTTGTACGAATTCGAACTAATAATCGCGCTCATACTCCAACGATATTCACAGGTTTATTAACATAACGAAAAAACAACTGAAGTAATATCAAACTTCTTTTTTGACAGCTAGACAAACACTTGGGCAAAGCAGTAATGGATTGAATTAGAATAGGTATTATTTAAAAATGTATTGGAACAGAATGGAATAAGTGAAATTATGTATGCTTTCCGAATTAATAAATCCAGGAAATTAATCCAATCAGACATTCAAACACATACAAGTAGTCATAGGCAAATGAAAGGGTTTATTTTATTTGAACACATAAATATTGGTACAAGAGGGCACCAAATATATATGCGCCACACAAAACAATGAGAATGGGAAGAGAAAAAAGGTAAGGGGCGTAAAAGAAAAAAAAAGAACAATAACGACCAGACTAGTGTAAGGTAGTGTAATAATAATGGGGGAACGGAAAGGTACAATCAGAAGAAATCTTCCAGTTAAGGAAGATACAACCACTTTTTATAAAGTAAAAGAAGGTTACAGCAGGATCGCCACTGGCTTCTATTCTGAGCTATATCTTACAACGTCTCTAGTCACTGTGTTGCACCATCTCTCGGACCCCAGCCAGGGAGTCGTAAAGGACCAACACAAACCAGCTCTTTGCAGCTTTCTTTCATACCCCGACACCATGTCATACACTGAACACCTCTCCGCTTCTTACAAATAATGTACGACGTGGAATTCTCTGGGACGGCATTCGTAAAACATGTCCAAGCCACCGAAGTCGGTGTTTCAAGATGGTGACACCGATTGCATTATCGTCTTTGTGCCCAAACACACGATGCCGAACCTCTGCATTACTAACATGGTGTTGCCACTGGATGTCAGCAATCCTCCAGAGACAACGATGATCAGGCACAGAGAGCCGTCTAACATCCTCAACTCGGAGAGGCCAGGTTTCACAAGCATAGAGCAGAACTGCTCTCACCGACGCGTTGTAGACCCAACCTTTTACAGCCAGACTAACATCACGAAGGCGCCAAAGATGGCCCGGATTGACATAAGCCTCTCTGGCTTCACTATACGCGCATTGATCTCATCACTCACGCCACCACCAACACTTATGCAGCTACCCAGATACACGAACTTCTCGACTACTTCTATCTGCTCACCATCCAGGGTGAGTACAGGAATAGGATCCTGCCAGTCTTGTAGTAGTACTTTGCACATCGAAGGTACAAACCACATACCGCACCTACAGACATTGATTGCCAACTGATTAAGTGCGAATTGCATGCCTTGGGCATTATCGCACAGTAAGACAATATCATCCGCATACTCAAGGTCGAGAAGTCTTTCTCCAGGCAACAGATCCACACCGCCATTACTTACATTCATCAAAGCTGTTTCCAGAATGTCGTCGATGGCAAAGTTGAAGAGGGATGGTGAGATTGAGCAGCCCTGTGTAACACCACTGCTCGTATGGAACAATGGAGAAAGGTGGTTGTATGCCCTCACTCTACCTGACGTGTTTGTATATAGGGCTTTTAGGATGTTAATAAACTTCTCAGGCACACCCTTCTTCAATAGACAATCCCAGAGAACAGTCCTATCCAACGAATCGAAAGCAGCCCTGATGTCAAGAAACACTACGATTGTTGGCCTTTGATAAGTATGACGTTTGTGGTCAAACTCACGGTCACCCGGAGTAGACCGACGGGTCTCGATGATTTGTAAGGAGCCTGAAGAAACCCAGTGCTTATAAGTGGGACATTTCGCGAAACCACAACTCACTTTACTCGCCATTTTCATGGTGTCATGCAATTGCGACCAATGCTCATCTATACTTTTCGGTGGAATGGTAGCTAGCCTATAACCTAGCTCAGTTTGATACTTAGTTACAACAGAAGCTGCAACCAACTTGCTGACATCAATCCTTTGGTGGCGGTCACTTTGTTGGCCACTGAGAAGTAAGGTAAGATTGGCGCAGACCAGGGCATGATCAGAATCCAGATAGGTACTCCAAAAGGAGCGGCAGTCTTGTATAAAACTACGCCATCGGTAGCTGATTGCGATGTGATCAATCTGAGTCAAGGCTTGAGATTCAGAGGGAGGATGCCAGGTAGCACATCAGCGATGACTGTGCCGAAAGTTAGTGCTAGCCAGAAACAGATTGTGGTCTGTGCACGGTTGCAGTAGACGGTCCCCGTTATCTGTCCTGCGACCAACAAGTCCCCATCGGTCACCCAAAAGATTCCCTTCTGTGCCTAGGCGCCCGACTTGAGTATTCAAGTCTTTGGCTAGTACTACAATAGCTGTCGAACGCACTTTCTGGAGAAGAACAGTTAACTGGTGGCAAAACTCATCCTTGGTTGCACCTAAGTTGCAATCTGTTGGGGCATAGGCGTAGATGACGAAAAGACATCGTTTCTCACGCCGATTTCTTCCCACTTTGATGGAACTTCCTAATCTAACAGCACATAACCAACCGACTGTTAATAGGGATCCAATCAATTAGTGCTGCCTCAGCTCTAGCGCTTAGTGCGACACCAACGCCAGCAAGACCAGACGAAGATGCCACAGGGTCCCCGAATAAACGCAAGTAAAACAAGCTTTTTGAAGCGACAGATGGAGAGCGAATTTGTAGTACTTCACCAGAGTCTTGAACACGGGTCTCGGATGGACAACAAACGTCGATATTAAGACTTTCCAAAGACATAGCCAGCCCTATCTGTTGTCCAACCTGCATAAGTGTGCAAACCTTGAAGGCAGCCAGTTTGAATGGTGCACGTGGTCTCAGAAAAACTGCTTAAGTATTCGTATTTGGTGGTAGCATTCAATTTCCAACCAGGCAGTGACTCGAGAACATTTAGGTAGAACCGAGTTTCCACCATAGGCGAGCTGCTGTATAAGTCGAAAAATAAGGATACACAGAGCGGGAATAAAAGAGAGTGAATAAATGACGTAGTAAACAACAATAATAGTAATAATAATAATAATAATGTGAATTGTTTGACTGTTAATCGAAGCGTGAATAGAGTTTTCAGTAATTATCGTCATTTTCATTCTATGTGTGTGTGGGCTGTGATACTGCCCAGGTGCCCAGACCGAAGCAGGTGGTTTTCTTAGCGGGACACACCTCGAGCCTTTGACCTAAAGCTCTGACCCACAAGGCAGTGGAGCATCGTAAGGAGATGCAGTCTCATGGTAGCTGGTGACCAACAATTGGTTCATACGCCATTTGTTACCGCAGGATACTGGAGCCCATATGCACCATTGGTTTGGGATCCAGTTAAAGCGCCGGACATTCACTTTTCGTCCTCTCATTTTCGTAAACAACACCCCCGACACGAGAAGGCAGTGAGTAGGACTTCCCTGGTAGAGGCTGTATACGCGTGGCCGTGTGAAAGTATTTTGAGAGGGAGGGCGAACCCACCCCTCTCTCGGCCATACCGGGGCATTTGAGGGCAGATGCAGATACAAGCTACTAATTATTCATACAAATAAATACAAAATAACCAATATAACTAAAATGACATGATTATCTATTCTTAAATGCAGATCAAATGAGTACATAAATTGGTCATATAAATTCATAATATTGTTCATTAATAAATATTATCACAATAACACTTGTTTGGTCATCGCAAGCATTAGGAGTGAAGTTGGTAACAACCGCATTTTCCCAGAAACTAATTCAAGTTAATGAAAAACTTTTGGATACACAGTTGTGTGAAACCATCATATTTGTAGCTCAAGGTGAGGACAGTGGTGTTGTGAACTTTGAGCTAGATAGTTTGGTTGTAAAGTATTTATTGTTCTTCTGAACACCATCAGCACGTACCTCAAAGAAAAGTGAGCTATTAGAAATTACCTACAACTGGATAACAACCAACCGAATTCCAGGTCAACAGAACAAATTGTTAGCCAGCTGTGGGGAAACTCTAGCCGCTTCCTTCTCTTTGAAGTGTGTACTGATGATGTTGTTAAGAGGAACAATCGAAGCATCACAACCAGACCATCCAGCCCAGAGACCACAGAATGTCCAACATTGTTAAACATAATAAAGAACCCCCTAAAGGTTTATATGTATCTATTACATGTGTGAGGTAAGCAATTTGAAATGACACGTGATGTTAAGAACAATCTGCACAAATTCCTCGTTTCATCAATTGCAGTTCTCTTGAATTGCTCATGTCATCATATGATGTTCCAAAAGACCAGAATAGTACACTAAACTCAAACTTGTAGACGAATCGATGATTAAGTGACACCAATATTATACTATTTTGTAAATAGGCTAGATAGTTACAAACTACAACAATACTGTACCATGTTAGGCTAACAAACACAAATCTGTGCATACATACGACAGACAACTGTATGCCAATTATGTGAAGATACATATCTCTCATAATTACTCAATTTATCAAGTGCTTATGTATTATTTTATTTTTATTTTTACTTTATCTACATCAAATACGACATACCATTTAGTCAAATACTCGTTCTTCAATAATATTTTCTTATGAATTGGAAGTGGTTATTGTAGAAAATTCACGAGTGTAAATGATAGATGAGTAGTCCGTAAGTAGTAGTGATATCATTCCAAAAGAAGAAAATGGATAACCTGAAAAACAGAAAGTAATAACAGTAAGTTTTTTCAACAGAGTCAAGCCACTCACCATCGTCGAATTTCAGACTTCGAAATAGGTATTAGCATATTACACGCCTTCTCTGTAGATGTTATATAATTAGTATACATGGGTGTCATCAAAAAGCTGATAACCTTATGACTCGATTTATCACATAAGAAACTTAAAAGCATGACAAAGACTGTCATCACGACTATAAGTGAACTACTGTTGCAGTGTGCTGAAAAATTTAGAGTATGTATCTATTTGGAAGGCAACAGAATGTTGTTTATTTCTCCTGTATTTAAGTCTGACTACACTAAAAAATGTTCTACCTTGCCTTCTTATCTAAATTTCCTACAGTTAGCTACTTATTCCTTACCTCACCCTAAGTCATGTAGCAGTTCGGTTGAGTCTGTTATGAAGTAATTTCCTTGTAGGATATAAGTGGTGCTACGATGCAGGGCATTTAATTTACAAAATTTATTTACTTAAGCACATTGCTGATGACGTCAATCTACGTAATGTGTTGGACATATATTCTTCACTTCTTTCTGAGCCCTATATACGTTAGATCAAAAGGATCATATATTGCTGATACGTTGCAGCCAAACAAGCTATTCAGTGGTACACTGAGAAATCAGTTATTAGTAGGTCGAAAGGCAGTAATCTTGCCATGAATGACAAAAATTCAGTTAACTATGACGCAAAAACAGGTAATAACTTGTAGGAATACTAGGTTTACATCATTTAAGCCTGAAAATGTAATCATAAAATGCTTTTTTGAAATTTGTTTTAGCCTACACTTAAAAAGTTTGTAGTTGAAAACGCCTTTGTTAGTAGAGAGGTCCTAGCCGCAGCTATCAAGTGGCTAGTAGATCAAAAACTATGCATGTATCCGACCACTTCAGCGGACATGGTGATTAGAAACAGTGTGGATCCGAACGACAGTTAGTCCACTGTAAAATGTGCAGCTATTCACTACTTTGGTTAGTAAGGAGGATTAATTGTTTCCTTGTAGATGATTTCAGATGCGCTTCAGACTTGGTCAAACCCTTCACCAATAAAATCGGATATTGTCACTCGCAGGATGAAAACACCGCACCAATGTACTCAGAAAAACCCAAACGGTAAATCAATTACAGTTTCTGATTTTCTACCATTGTATTTAAGCACCAGTCAAATTACGTATACGACTTTTTGGATTTCGGTGGAATGTAAACAGGATACAGCCAGGTCGAGTATTCAAATTTAGGCTGTTCGAAACCTTAACTTTCTCAATTACCAAGTAAGTCTGTGATCTCTATAACTGTACGTGAATAAGTCCAATGGAAGTAGAGTTGTTGTTGTCAGCCACTGTCTGAACACTCGATAACACTGCAATCTGTGACCAGTAAGTTTTACTTGGAACTTTCTGAAGTCTTGTAGATCATCAAAGATATATACAAACATCAAAAAACTGTCAGCCGAGATTGTGCTGTCCGTAAATATGAGGCAAATAGTGCTGTTGTTGAAAACACCAGAAACAAATTACCAGTCAAAACAATTTAGCGGGGAATTAGTCAGCTTACAGTTCCCTTTGTTAACTGAGTATGAACTGCAGCCTTCAGGTGTGCTAATTCAGTAAGAAGCTACAAGGGATAAATTTGTAAGTAAACTGATTTAGTTTACAATCTGTGTATTATTTATAGGGCAATGATCACTATCCGAAAACGTCCCTCAAATCTTTACTATTACACCTGATCAAACCAGAATTAGCAATGAACTTCACATTGATAGGTACTGATACAAAACGGGACATTATAAAGTACAGATTCTATAACACTATATGATGTAGGACTACATTCAAGTTTATGTTATTAAAAAGGTGCACTAACATCACAATTTCTATTTATCAAGGTCAGCGAAAAAGATCTTGCGAAGGTGAACGACGTGGCTTCACAAGGTTTTTTCTTAAGAAAAGAGAGATAAAGTGGACAGGCGTTATCATTAAAAGGAAGATTAAGTGCGATTTTGTAACCGAACTTTTTTTTTCGTTTTTTGGATCCCATCATCTGCCCTTTGCAATATAACTGTAAGTTTCAGGGCATCGAATAACAACACAAAAAGGGGAAATAAAGGCGAAGAAAGGGGAAATAAAGGGGTAAATGCTTTGGTAGCGAAAGGGGAAAACGCATCAGAATGTGTGTACACACTATTTATCCCGGACTGGTGAAAAGTGCAACATTTTGATGACTCGTCACTTATATTCACACTAACTATACTTACACACTTTCACCGAAATTCGAACAAAGTTCGCCTTTACTTCCCTCATTTTGTTTGCCTAGGTATCCAAAAAAATCAAATTCTGCGAAATTACCTTGCGCGAGTAACCTTGAGACCAAACTCCCTCCGGGATGAAATTCACAAATCAGTTGTTTTTAGTAAAGACAGAGGCCATACGGCCAACGTTTTTCCTTTACTATTATGCTTTTGTGAGTGTCCAGTCTTCCTCTGAATGAGCTAGTGGAAAGTGAAGACATCACTGCTTCGGATAACAGGTTCGATGAGAAAACCTGTATGCCACGGATATTTTATTGATTCTTGCCTTTTACACTTGCCTACCATGTCCACTAAGTTGTCTAAATCTGGTAGAAAAAAACGAAGGGATTCATGAGGTCCAAATCATTTCCAAGTATTCTATACATCAGAATCAGATCACCTCTTAATCTGCAATAGGACAGAGTAAAGAGGTCTAGCTTTTTAAACCGCTCTTGGTATGGTAAACCCTAGAGCTCTGGAATTGCACGGGTAGCTGCCCTCTGTCCTTTTTTTCAGGATATCCTAGTCACCTTTTGAACAGGGGCTTGCAGCCTGAACGCAGTTCACAAGCCTAGTTCTCACTAAAGTTGTGTATACTGTGTTGAACATGGTAGTATTTAACTTGGCGAATGTTCGTCTTACAGCCCAAAGGGTTTTAAACCCTTTAGCTGTGACTACCATGTGATGGGCCGTGATCTTAAGATCATGACCCAATGTCACTCCAAAATCCTTGTGAGACCAGACCACGGGTACAAGCGTTCCCCCCATGCTGTACCCGTTTACCTTTGTTTCCCCAAAGTGCCTGTAGACACACTTTGCCGTGTTGATGGGCACCAGCCACTCCGTAGACCAGTTGATCACAATATTTAAGTCTGCTTGATGTCAGATTTTTATATAGTCAGCGTATAGCAACATTGGGGACTACTATATTTGAGAGATCACTTACATACATTATAGAAAGTTGTAGGTCACCAACGTAGATGATCTATGTCAAGTGATCGGAGACCTACTCGGGATAGACGGGAATAGCGTGACGGACCAGCTAACATCGAAGTCACACCTCGTGGTAGGGTGAATTTATCCGCAACGCGACCATGTAAACTGAATGTATCGCCCAGGGTCATCTGTGCGTTCAAGCAACCACAGATTTTGTCATTTCATAATATATTTTTAATTAAATAACCAGATTGTGTTCCTAATTCTGCTCTGTTTTTAATTTTTATTCGCCACGTCCGACTGCGTTACACTATGCGTCTTTGAACTCTGGAATGATATCTCAAGTCATAGTTAGTTTAATCACACAGGTTATTGTTTCCAGATAGACCGTCAGTGCATGATGTTACTGAAGAAATCTTTGTTGTACTGTAGACTATGTTTTTATGAACAACTGACTGTTGTCTTCAGTCTTAAAGCAATATATATCCTTTGTCTTCTCTTAGGTAAGTTCTACTGGCCTATATTTCGTGTTTTGGTTTTATCGGCTCAATTATGTTCATTTTACTCCGTTTAGCAACATGTCTGTGCAAATGGAACAATAATTATGACACTTGCTTAGTTAAGTATTCTTGGTTGCCGTATAATTTAGATTATTCTATAGAATTATAGTATACTTAAGTGTAGTGCTTAAAGCCTGTAACGAAACGGACCAGTTTAGTAAGTAGAACTGCCTGTTTTTAATGAGTATAGTGATTGAAATCAGTCTGATTAAAAATAGGAAAAAAGTGCCTTTGGTACTGTTCTTGTCATATATTATAAGATAGCTTTAAGGACGTTTGGTGTGAAGATGGCACAGGTATTCATTGTTTGACAACGCTTTTACCAGTAACACCTAATATAACTCGTACCCACCAAGAGAAATCAAAAGACAGAATCGAGGAGATCAGAAGTTGTATTTGACGATTGCCAATATATCGGAATTGTCTGATCTAGTCTGGCTAGCGATTGCAGTAGATGTTGAGCACGGCGTTCCCACACGTACGGATGCATGACCGAGCACCTTCAGCTTGGTGAGTCCACTAAAACTAATCTGGTCAGCATCCAATGTTGAAAACTTACAGAGCTATTTATTTTGGGGATTTATTTACCGCTACAAGTGTTTATTTGTAGACAGTACGTCTAACACTGTTCATGTTTCAAGACCACTATCATTAAACAATTTCCCCAGCAATAACGTCGGTAGCAGGATAGCTAAGCGTCTGAGCTTTTAGTTGCCCCCAAAACAGCAGTATACAGTCTTAGAAGATGAGTGTTCTGTGTCTCAATTAAATGTAGCTGGCTGTGGATAAATGTTAAGAATCTTTTTGACAACTGGGACTTTTAGTTTATCAGACGATAACTCTGCTTGTATGTCTTCCTATTGAACTAGATGCAGATTCATGAGAATACTTAAATGGGAGCAAAATAATAAAAGCTGTGCGATGCTGTGCTTTGCACAAGTTGTAGTAGCTGGCGTGATCTGATATTCATGAAGTCGAGGTAAATCACAGCTGCATAAATTATTTCCTTAGAAACATCTAATGTGCTTATTTACCTTTTCAACATTCTTCACTAAATCCATTACCATCTTTTATTTAGAATGTAACAGGAGTGAGCCGTCACAGATGTTACAGTGTTTCACCTTTAGAACTATAGCCCTATGAAACTTTATGGGAGATCCACCTAACAGCAGATTACTAAAAGCATGCCGGACATCCACTTCCAGTGTTTTGGAGTTACTTCTTATACCTTTCGTTCGAAAGAAGAAACAACAAATACAGCAGATTAACATTACCAACGCCACAATGTAGTTGGTAACATGGTGTAAATCTTTGTTTCATATTCCATTGTTAATTAAAGTTCCTGAGTAAATTTGTAAACTTGATGCTACTTCGTTTTATCTAGTTGACCGTTACAAGAAACTTGTGAGACGCAAGCCTCTGAGCACCTAGTTGGTGTGTAGCAAATTTAAGTCACAGCAGTTGATGGATGGATACGTTACACATCCCAACCGTCCCTGTCTCTAATACCATATGATAAGCAAGCAGTGGGTAACCCTCAATTCTGGGCCTTCTTATAACCTATTTCAGCCGCCATGACGTGTTGCACTAGTACGTTGACGGGTACGCGTTTGAGCCATAGCTGTTTACTGGGATGCCGTCGGATTTGCAATCAATACCTTAGGTACACTTACGGGTCACCAGTAACGTGAGGTTACGCGCCTGCCAAAACACAACTACAGGCCTATTCAATGTTTTCATCCCCTTATACCAAACATAGCAAGAAACTATGTATTTAGTGAATATAAGACTTTTATTTAATAAGGTATTAACAAAAACTGGCAACGCAGCAGGCGCACATGACGCGATTTGTGTTGATTGAGTATCTGAAATAGAGGGTACGAGTATTAGCTTAATAGATGCATTTATAAATACTTAGATTTTGATTTCCAAAGAACCAGTGGACTTACTATGTTCGGAATCTGTAGGCAGACGCCCCATGCATATTAATTCATCAACTTGATCTATCAATTGCCTTAGTGTGTGCTGCACCGTCGTCTGTCAGAAAAGTGTACTGAGTGTGTGGATTTTACTGCGTAGAATGCGATACAGTCTGTTCGTTTCAGTATAATCTGGAGACGAAATAGATGGTACATTTACATCTACATCTCCACAGGCTGTCCAAGTCCATCTGCAACACTGCGTCAAAACTAAATCAACTACTTCATGATACAAAGATGAACATAACATACCTGTGAACTCCGTCATTTGTAGATGAGTAAAAACCATGTGCTTACATGGAATTCGACATGTTTTTTAAATAAACGGTAAGTGCAAGTGCCGTTGCTTATATGCACTACCGGACACAGAGGGATGTCTACGAAGAACACAAAGGGTGACTGGTTATTCTTGGTGTACACCAGTCCCCTTTTTTATAATCTTTAAGGACTATAGAGCCAACATAGGTGGTTAGCTTGCTTAGTAGAGGCATTAAGCAATCTTCAGCTTCGTATCTACGTTTGTGACTACAGTGTAAGCTGGACTGAAGTGACCTACGTTTGCTTGATTGCCTCTGCCATGTGAATGTCTTCCACATACATTTAGTCAACGCGTCTCCGTCAGACAACTTTCTCTTCAGTCGTCTGTGTGCACTTGTAGTACTATGATCTACTATGATATTAGTACTGCTCTAATAATAGACCTAATCCTAAATTTGTAGATTCGTCATGGTATAACTGCCTAATCTATAAGATCTTACGTGGAAGTCACACCATCGACTACGCCAACTCACTGTATCGTATCAATTACCAATACATGATGAAGAACGAAGTTGGGTTAGAGGAAGAACAATATATTTAATATGAATAGAGACCACGCCTGCATGGCCGAGCCATGCCACTCGATCAACCTCAGTCCATTCAATTTATTCTTCGCGCCTTCTCCATTGTTAGGTATTTCTCCGCGTTAAATATTGAATATCTATTTTCTGAGTAGTCTCGTGTTCACAGCTTTGTGGATTGTGTGGCTATTGTCCAATGCCACTACACTACTCTCCAACCAGAATCAACGTGATGTTGGTTCGATACCAAATTGGATGGGATCGTCGCGCGCCGGAGGTTACCAAGGATAATAAAGATCCTCCGGGTATTGATAAGCTGAAAGATAAATCAAAAAGAAGGCGGCAGAATCTGGTCGGGAAATACATGTAATAATCTTAAAATATCTGCTTTCATGATTAACACGCTTAAAATGAAAATTTGGTTGAAGATTATTTGAACTATAAAAAATGGGATTACAATAATAATAATAATAATAAAACGATGCGTGTTAATAAATTAACTTATAGGCAGTAATTATTTTGTGTTTAGAAATATTAAAATAACGAATATTGTAGAAATGTTAATATTGGTATTAGTTTTGGTTTAAATTATGAAATCGGATAACGATTATGCCGGTAAGTTGTCCATAAGAGTTGAATTCCAATTGCATCTGTATCAGTAGGCTAACTGAAGGAACAAAAGTATTACCATGGTAAAGAATTCCAACTAGTGTTCTAGTTAGTTTGATACGGTTTATTTAGTTACGGGGAGATTTTCTCAACCTCATTTTT